AACCAGTGAATGGCAGGGAGAATTGATCATTCTCTCTGGCCTTGTAACAATGTATTTTGACTTCTGTTGTGTGTGATGATGTGATTACTTGATATTTCTTATTCGTTTCATTGTCTATTCTAATCTCCGCTGCTTGTTTGTGAGATCAATAAGACCTATTTTGCTTGATTCTTTATTTAAGTATGTAATAGACACTAATGACATATTTGTCCCCTGTTAACTACATATTGCATGGGTTCTACAACTTTTCAACCACATATTTCAAAAATTTCTATTACAATCTACTAAAAATTTGATTTTAATTCTCACCGAACACCCTCTTGGTAAGTTAGACCAGAGATGATTGAAAATGGGACGCCATCACTCTGATGAACTCTTTTTCTTGAATGTTAAGATAGTAAAAGTTATTCAAAATGTTTAGTCAGATCTGTTTGTTGTGCTGTGTTTCAGAATAAGCACAAGTTCAATTGCTTATGCAAGAAGCAAGTACAGTTTTTAAAAAAAAATGTATATGGGGAGAAATTTGGGTTGGACTCCCTAACATTTTATATTATGAAGAGTAAAATGGGTCCTCAACCATTAAAAGCCGAGTTTTGACTCTCCATCTTATTCAATACTGTGAGACTGGGTTTCTATCTGACGAAGTCTTGTATTTTGACAGTTAAAAAGTCTTTTTTTTAATAAATTGATTATTATGTCCTTGCCATAAATTAAGGGTTTGAGCCTTATTTTTGTGTAGAATACATTTTGAAATAGTAAATTGATAAAAAATATGCGATTAAAAATGAAGGAAAAGTTTTTGGGTTGTGTATAATATTATTTTATTGAAAAACGTTTGGTTGAAAAGAAGATAGAGAAAAAAACGTTTTTTTTTTTTAAAAAAATGGGGATCAAATAAGGTCTATGAAAAAAATGTACATTTTGTAATTTTAATTTTAATTTTAATTTTTGGTTTTTGTTTTTGTTTTTTTTTTTTCATATATATCTTATAGTAAGGGCATAATAGTCATTTTAAAGAAATTAATTGTCAAAATAACAGATTTGATCGGGTGGATCCAATCTTACAAGATTGAGTAGGTTGGGGAGCCGATTTCATACTCTGTGAAAAGTTAGAGAGTTTAATCCTAATTTTCCGTGAATTATCAAAGAACACAAACATAAAAAATAAATTAAAATGGAATTAAGTGAATAAGAAAACTTGTTCCTTTTATTTCCATGAAAAAAGAATGAAATCAAGACGTATCGATCTTCTTCCCATTTTAGGATTATTTTCTTCTTCCCGACTGTGGGTCTAGAGGAATTACAAAAAACCAGGTGTTTAAAGATTGATTTTCAAAAATCAGGTTGAAAGTTTAATTATTCAAATATCATGTAATAATTTTATATTTTAATAAATATTTTAATATTAAAACTCTAACTCTCTCTCTCTCTCCATCTCTCTCTCCCCGTGAGCAGCGAGCTGCTTTGCAATCCGTCGAAAAATTGGGTGAACGGCATCGCCCTCGTCGTCGCTACAATGACATCATATCGCTGCTGTGCTGCGCCCTCGCAGTCGATGGTGTGAGCCCCAGCAGCGGCATCGCCTTTTTTTTTTTTCCTCTTCTGTATCTGTTTCTGATTGATATGGTAATGGCAATGGTGGAGTGGCTTGGGGATTTTCTGCACGGTGGTTGGGTTGTTTCTGTGGGTGTGGGTGTTGGAAGAAATCCTAGATTTTAGCAGGCGGTGGCGACGAGTTTGGAATTTTTTTGTTGGATCTAGTGGTGATAGTTTTGTTGGTGGTGATATTGTGGTGGTGGTGTGATGTGGTGGTGTTGGCGACGACGGGGTTAGAGGTGGTGACAGGTTTGTGGTGGGTGGTATGGTGATGTTTTTGTTGTTGTTGGCGACATGGATGGTGGTGGTTGATTGAAGTTAGTTGATTGAAGTTGCAGGTGGCTAGAGGTTGACGTGGTGTGTGGTGTTGGAGCACACGTTTGGGGGTGGGGGTGGGGGAGGGGAATGATGTTTGTGATCGTCATGGCGTCGTTTCCAGTAGTGGTGGTGGTGCGTTTCTGTTGTTGGAGACGATGATGCGTTTTTGTGGTGGTGTTGGTGGGGGCGGCGGTGAGATACCGTTCGTGAGCAATTGTTTGGTTAATTTGTGACCAAATATTGGTGGTGTATCGGGATTGGGGGTGGGGTGTTTGGTATATATGATCAACTATTTGGTTTATTATGACTAACCATTAAACTGTGACCTTAAAATTCAATAATTTTTTATCAACAAATTTGAAATTATGTGATCGATAGATAAATTGTGACCTATAATTTTTTTGATCTGTGACCAATAAAATAAATTATGACGTGTAAAATTTTTGATTTGTGACCTCGAAATAATTTGTGATTAATTAATTTAATAATATGTGACCAATAAATAAGTTGTGACCTATATATATTAAGTACATGTGACCATTAATTGTATAATTGTGAATTTATTATATTTAAATAATAATTATTTTTAATTAATTAACTAAANATTATATTTAAATAATAATTATTTTTAATTAATTAACTAAATACCCGAATTTTGCGTTTTTTAAACTTTATATTTATTTGATTTTTTATAATTGTGAAACTTAATGCCTGATTTGTGAACTCTTCTCATGGGTTTTTATAGTAGAATAAGGATGGATTTTTATTTTTTATTTCATGTGCACACAAGTGGCACTTGACATTTGAAAATAAGTTTGGTTAAATATTCAATGACAAAATAATAATCGAAATATAATAGAATGAAATGAGGTTCGATGACTCTTATGAGATTGATGACAAAGTTATGTGATTATTATAAAAATCTACTATAAATCTGAGCTTAATTTCATTGAAAATCGATTATATGAACCCTAATTTCGTACTAGAAATGAAGTTCGACGATCAATATAAAACCTTTTACAAAACTAACCGACCATATATTATTAAAAACTCACTAATGGGGGTAGACAACGACACTATTTTACCTATTTAATGTCAAAAAGGTGTTTCATAAGAGTTAAGAATGAATATCTATTTAGGATGCTGCTATTGACGGTCCAGAAATGATTGATAACAAATTTAAGCTTTTGTGAAAAGAGGTTGCTTGTAAGGAGAGACAACTTACAAAAAGAGACAATGATTGGAGACTACAAATTTGGGAAACCCAAAATTTTTGAATCAAAGCAATTGATTTTTAGTCAGTAATTTATTTTTAATCAAGTACAATTTAAGATGTAGGAATTTTTTTTTTTTTAAAAATTGAAGTATCACACCCCAACCTATCAACTTTGTTGCAGCTTCATTCCACTTATTGGTGGCATGGTCCCCCACAACATATCGATTTTGTAGCTTCACCGGTTATATGACGGATTTTGTCTATTTGACAGATAAAGATCATTTTTATTTTTGTCAAAAAGACATTTTATAGTATTCTTAGCGAATTAATTATTACTGATAGTCATACAATCTCCACACCAACTAATATTAGCCCACTTAGAGGGTGTTTGGTGGGGATTAAAATTATATTTTTAATAAATTGTGATTGAAGTTTTTTGAACGTATAATTGAAAAGTTGTGGGATCCCATGAAAGATGTGGTTAATATTGATTGTTTGACTTTGACTTGGTTTAAAATTAGATTTTAATTCAAACGAAACAAGAGCTTAGACTTCATTGCTGTAAATTAAAGTTCAATCACCTAATTGAAGCTAGTGTGAAAATTAGGCGACTTACACTACAATTAAATTTTGATATGTGAACTCCATTACAAAAATAAATTTATGATAAGTTTTTCATATTTTTAAATAATTAAACCCCGAAAATCTATTCTTAAAATTATTCAAGTGATGGGGGAAAACGAAGAAAAGATCTAGAGTTCCTTCCATATATGAAATTGACTCGATTCAAAACATGGCTTATTTAGAGTGGAACGTAATTATTCCTACATTTTAGAACATACAGAAGACATTCACCATGGGCTCTAGGATGGAATGAGGATCGCATCAGGTTCAATTTTTTTGTTTTTTTAAAAAATATTTACACTATTTTTTATTTATAAACTCGTAATAAAGTATCAAGTTTTGTGAACCAAAAAAAAAAAAAAAAGAAATATATGTTGGAACTAATGCTACAATTTTTCCCTAAACTATTTTTCATAAAATTGAAAATTACTCAATTAACTAGTTTTGGAAGTGGAACAAATTTCTTAATTCGCTCGCTCACAAATTACCTACAAGTCAACGCCGTTCAGCAATGTAGCGCCATAATATTATTATTTTATTTAAGTCCCGGAACAGAATCTTATTATTCTCTTACAAATATTAACCTACTCACGACCTTATTACACCATTATAAACCGACCAATCATATAACAATTTTCCATGACGTGGCAGGTTTGAGTTAAGTAGCACGTTGGAATTGACTGCGCTGGAAAATTCTTCGCCACACGCTACAATTGTCCAACGAAAATTAGACGCCCATATCCAACGGTTCAACACCCACCTTCGGGCTTCTATGAATTTTACCCGTTCGATTATATTCTTGGTGAAACCGTACGATGAGATAATCAGCGAAATCTGACCGTACAAAATTTGTAAAATTGAATTTCAAAAGCTAAGCTAGAGAGGGAGGAGCCACTCAAAGCCTCCATCCCCTTCTCTTTCGAAATAATTTCGAAAATCCCTCCTCCCTTTTTTTTTCTTCTTATACGAATTATTCGTGTTTTACTCACGTAATTCTATACGTATATACGGATCAAGAGGCTTCTTGATTGAGGTTTGATTAGTGAGATTTTAAAGCCTGACATTTTGATTGGATATTTGTTTGAATGTGACCTGCGTGAACAGAGATACAGTCTTTAATTCCTGATTTTTGAGCTTTTAGATTTTGAATTTGGAATTCGTTCAATTTTGGGTGTTCCTGTGAAGAAACTTGTATAATTCGTGTTGATTGACACGAAAAATTGCGTTATATTAGTTCCATTTTCTAATGGAACAAAGTGAGGGAGGTGATTTCCTTCCAAAAGAGCCGCAGCAATCAGATGCTACTCCGGCAGCTGCCGCGGATTTTCCTGTGCGGAAGCCGGCGAGGCAACTGGATTTTACGGGGTTCGGGGATGGCACATCATCATCAGTGGGATTGGCGTTGCCGGAGGTCTCTCAACCGAAACAAATACAGACGCTGAGCCATCTGAGCCAGCCTCTGCTGCAGCAGCAGCCACAGTTAGTGAAGCCAAAAAATCAGCCGCCAAAGCCGCCTCCGCTGCCACAGATGCCATTCGTGACAATGCAACAAGCTCCACAACCGGCTCCGGCATCCTCTCATCCTTCTATTCGACCTGCTTTGTGAGTCTTTTCTACTTCAAATTTCAATTTGTTAGACAATTTGAGAGCTAAAGTTTGAAATTTATAAAAATCTGTGGGTTCGTTGGTCATTTATTTCAATTTAGTCACAAATTTTCGATCTTTTCATTTTGAGCATTCATTATTTTCAGAATAATCTTAGAATTCTTTCTTTATAAAGGAGCTTCCCAGACGTCTAACTTCGTCATCTATTCAATTATAGAAATTTGAAAGTCAAATAGACTTGAGTGTTCGTTAATCTGTTTTTCAAATTGCTTTCCGGCCCTTTGAAATATAATTTAGCCTGTTCAGTTAGAAACTTTGTGGAAGTCTTTATGTATTTGACTCTTTCAAGTTATTTTGTATTTGACTCTTCTGTTGAGTAATTTGTGGGTCACATCACTACAAATGAGGATGCTAATCCTATTCTTTGGTTCAAACATCATATTTTGGGTTCCTTTTGCCTCACCAAATAATTCTACAGAGACTTTATGCCTTAAATGTAAGCTCTGATTCTGTTGCTAGTTTTGTTTTTGGTCCACAGATAAATAATCACGTGCCATGTGCATGAGAAGGTTCCCATGTATTTTCTTGCCTTTAGTCTGCTTGCCACAAATATTTGGGTTAATGCCATTTGCATTCATTTGAATTTATTGTGCACTTTTTGCATTTTTCATTGCATAGTAGTTCAAAAAGATTCAGAAGTACATCGCAGCATATTCTCCTTGTTACATTCTTCTTCTCTGAAGCCTAAATTGCCTAATAATTTGAAGATGAAATATTAAAGCTAATTCCAGAATGGTTCTCCATCTTGGTTCTTTTACTTTTCGTATTGTTAGACAGTGAAAAGGATAAGCAATTGATACCTTGATTAACTGTCTAATGATCTCTACTCATGCCTATATTATGCACGCAGCACATATAATTGATATACCAAGACAGTTTTCTTACTATATATATAATGTTATAATTCACTCTTAATTCCTTCAGGAAACCTGAATCCCCAAGATCGCGGTCAAGGCAAAACCAAGCTGAAGTTAAAGACGGTACTCCAAAGAAGCAAAAGCAGTGTAATTGCAAACACTCACGGTGTTTAAAGTTGTAAGTAGTTGTCATATTTCTTGCCTTTAGTGGTATGGTGAAGTCTGACTCAGAAATATGTTGATTCCTTCACATTCTTGATGTGAATGCTACAGCTTAAGCAACAGCTAATATGGTAGTAAAATTGGGAAGTTGAAGTATTCACTATGAGTGCCCCGGGGGGTGGGGGGGTGGGAGATGGGGTGTAGAATAGCCTTTTCTAACTTTCTGCCCTCGAGTCATCCTTTTCAATTGGTTGTTGAGCCAAATTTTCCGTGCTCGGTTTAGGATATAGTCTAATTTCCAGCTGGTGCATCTATAGTCCCCAACAATGTCAGAATCAAGGACGTGGAATGGCCTTGTTGCTTTCACATTCTGAACTTTAGCCATATATTAGTGGTCTTGGCATGAATTTGCTTATGTTTTGTAATTGAACTATTGGAAGACTAGATAACTGATAGAATCCTTCGGAGATAATTCCAGTTCAGGTTTTTCAACTATATGTAATTTATACTGATAAGTGTTACCACTCCCTTATGTGTGTGCAGATAGAGCTGATAACCTTATACTATTCTAATGTGTTTGAGGATACCATGAGTCTAGCCTCAGGCATTTCAATTTTCAATAGTTGATGACTCAGAATAACAGCAATGTTAATGGATATTTATAGAGATCTTAACTGATGTTTATAGCATATAGATAGAAAGACCATCTTCGTTGGATCCATCTTCGTTGGATCAATATTGATATCTTTACATGATGCTAAGTAATCTCTTTCCCTTTTAGCAACATTTGTTTAGTGGAATAATCTTTTATAAGATAACTATGGAACCTATTGGGTAACAAATATCCAAAAGACTTAGTTGTATGTTCATTTATTAACCAATATCTAACTTATGGTGGCAAGTGGGCAATAAAGAAGATTTACAATTCCTTGAAGCATTTTGTTGACTGTGATAAATACCTTTTGTGTTTATGAGAAATCATGTGAACTGCGCACACCTTTTCTGTTTCTCACCCACTAAATTGTACATGTTCTGAACTGATAATTTTGTCTGGGTTGCTGACGGTCCAATGGTTTGAATTCTCCCACTAAATTAAGCATGTGGGCGTTAACTGCAAGCTGCTTTCGTATGTGGGGTTTTTTATGATGCATACTCTTTTAATGGTCAGGTATTGCGAGTGCTTTGCATCTGGTGTATATTGTGATGGATGCAACTGTGTGAATTGTCATAACAATATTGAAAATGAAGATGCCAGACGAGAAGCAGTTGAAGCTACACTGGAGCGTAATCCACAGGCTTTCAGGCCAAAAATTGCTAGCAGTCCTCATGGAGCTCGTGATTGTAGGGTACTGTCAAAACTTAAAATAGTTGCCTATGCTATTCAATTGATTTGCTAGAGGACTTTTCTGTGATTAGCATCTCATTCACCGTAAACTCTCAGCTAATCATAAATTAAATGGATTCAAACCATGTTTGTCTAAGATTAAAGAAGAAGTAAGTCACTTTTAAGTAAAAGTTTATAATTTTGTAGGTATATTTAAGTAAAATGTACTTCTAAGTAAATTTCTGTTCGGCAAAGGAATTAATTTAAAGTAAAATAAATATGGTAAATGACCAAAAACTCGTATACCATGTTAATGATGTGTTTCTATTGTAAAGTTGAGGGTATAACGGTTTACTTGGTCGAACTTTAAAAAAGTCACCATTTTTTGTTAAGTAGCCCATGTCTGACTTTTAAAAAATCCTTTGTTTTTTATTTTTTTTGGCCAAAACCTATTAAAAAGAAGTAGCTTGTTTTCTAGCAACACGTGTGGAAATTGTTAAGTTACATAAAATTAACTTTGACCAGCTTTTAAGCATAGCCATCTCGCTTTTTGCTGCATCAAAACCTTTATCTTTTGTATGTAAATCTTCTGACTCGAGGACACATTATTCTATTTTTTGCCCCTTTTAATGTCCATCCCTGTATCTTTATAGCCTGACCAAAGACAATAAATTTGGTCCAAGTGTCCTCTTTATCTTTTGAATGCCCCTATATGTTTTACTTAACTATAGGCATATCATCTACATGTAGAGGTAGATAGATAGCTTCCCAATATTTTGTCCTTAAGTAGTTTATGATGCTATCATAATGACTTCACTTGAAGACAATTAGAAATACAAACAATTCAAACCATTTTTATTATTTCCTTTATGATTACTTCAATCTATATAGTGACGTGCTAAAAAAATATGCTAAATCCTGATTTTGTTCTTGTTTAAATCCCATTGTATGGTTCATCTAAGTCATCTCTCTAAGCTCAGGAAGACAGATTTGGCATCTACTCGTTCTCACTCTAAGTTGAAGTTGGCAACTAAGGCTAGAACAAATTTTATGGTGGTGTATTCTAAAACTGGAGAGAAAATCTCATTATAGTCAACTCTTCTTTGTGGATACTCCTTTGCAACTAAACTAGCATGAAACCTAAAAGGTTCATCAGTGGTTATTCTTCCTTTTCCTTATAGAAAGTCGCACGGTGGAAGAGGAGCTGTTGCTAGGTTATATGGAACAACTAAGAAGTTCTTATAATTTCTGATGTAGACTGGAGAGGAGATGGTGCACTGTATCATAATGTAAACTCCCAAGTTGAATCTAATAAATTTCTTAAGACAATAAGGCTGATTTACATTGTATTTTAAGAGAGACATATTTATTATACTATTTAAAATGTACATTTTTTTAAAAAAAAAATAATAAAGAGGCGCACAGTTTAAGAGAATGTTCCCTTCTTCTATTAATTCAACGTATACTATAGATTCAATGTGCACTAACTTATTAATTAAATAAAAATTATTTTAGCATAATTTTCTATTTGATTTACACTACAAAGAAAAATATTAATGTTATTTGAATTGATGCGTCCTAGTTTTCTAAAAAAATCACTCGTTGGCATGTTCATGTCATGTGCGCGTCTGTATCAGTTTCTTGTGACTTGTATGTACTTGTTAGTTTACTATTAATCAATTTGTGCCTATGTAGTCTATATACAAGCATCACATGGATATACCATCTCTTTCACTATAGCCTTATGTTAATATGCCAAGTATTGTTAGATCATTAGGGTTCGTGGGCTGGTTTATTAGTTGGTCATTATACATATTTTCTTTTATATGTAGATATACTAATTTGTACAAAATCCTAAAATAGGAAATGCTTCATTACGAGATCAATTAAATAGCACTTAGATAGTGTAGAATGATTTTTAAAAAAAAAATAATAATTAGGAGATCATTTAGATAGCAATTAGATAATGTAGAATGAGAGGTTTCTTTTCGTGTAGTGCCTATAGCTCTTCTTGCATGGCTCGTTGCCAACAAGCTTGTGGAGATGATAGAGAATAAGAACGACGAACTGCTATAGTATCTAAAGTTATAGTGAGTTATGTATGAGGAAAACCATACCTAATGTCGAGTGACTCTGTTATGCTCTCAAGGTCCAATATCAACTGGATTAAGGTTAGGAAGGGGCATTGCTGGAGTGGACATCATCATTATTACACAAAGCCTGGCTTAAAGTGTTCAACATATGACACATCATCGAATCATGGCAAGATCAACTATAAAAAGAATGCGAGACTCAAGGAAATATTGATTTTGAAGGAAATTGACATGTCTAGATATACAAAGTTTGTTAGAAGTAGCATTATAATAAACGAAACCTTTCCGTGCAGTACTTGTTAGGAATATTGGGCCTAACTTCACCTAATAAAACCGGTTTATTAGGGGAGGATTGCCCTCACCTTATTAAGTGGATCATTTATATTTTCCCAAGCAATGTGGGATTCTAATACGCCCCCTCACGCACAGCGTGGACCATGCCAAACAACTGTGAACAAATCG